CTTTATCCTCACACAGGTCACCTGTGTGTAACAGAAGAACTGTTTTTTACCAAAAGAAACAAAATGGTGGTAGGTTGCACTTTCTATTGAAATATTTATGTATGTAAGTGAAGAAATTAGATCAATGTTATTTTTTGTGTTTGAAGGATATGACTTGTTAAAAACTAAGGAGAAAATTTGACAAAAAATAATCTATGTGGGATTGTCCAAAAGGCACAACTTTGGATGAGTTGTACTCACACTGAATTGAAAACATTCTTGTTGCTAGTTCCTGAAGAAGCTGCTTGGGGCCAATGCTGAGTATTTTGGAAACTTTCCCCTGTGAGAAAGGAGTTTTGGTTAAGAAATAACATATTTTTAAATGAGTTTTTAAGTACATAATAGTCAAGATCTCCCTGATTCTCCTTTAGAGGTAACTTCCATAGGATCAGCTTTGATTGATGATTTTATACTTTTAAATGAAGGCAGTAGGATAGTCAAGATGCATGGGGCTGACTCCCCAGCACATTAAATTCTGCCCCATCTCTCTCCTGCAGTGCCATCATTCACACTTGCTTGTAAAAATTTCTCCAGCTGATGAGATACTGAGCAGCAGCCAGTATTATTTCGTCATGGGTATAAATTGACTGGAGATGTCCAAACTGATAGATCTCAAATCCACATTTCCATGTAATGGCTGACACTTCATTTCAGAGCTTACCCTGTCAGGCTGCACATCTCTCCCTCTGTGGGTGTATTTCATCTGGAAGTTACTGTGATCTCTCCTTACATGTCATACACCATTCTGCCAATGACACTTAATTCTTGCATACAACACTTCTAGTTTCTTATTCCCACTTTCCCCCTATTTTCTTTCCTTCCCTATTCTCAAGAGGAGCATATTCTAGCTGTCAAAGCACAGGACTGAAAAATCAATGACTGTGTTCTTTCCTCCTCCAGTATCTCATTTTTTTAATGTTTTAAATGTTCCACACCTCAGATTCCTCATCTGTAAAATGAAGGTCACTGCCACGTATCATAAATATCTTTCAGTAGTATTGGGGGACTTTAATACTTGAAAAGGGATTTGAGATCCTTCCTCAGAGTCAGGATGGTGCTCACACCATGTAAAGAGTATTACAATATCCTAGGAGCTGCATTAAGGGATGTCATGTACAGTTGAGGAGAAGTTCAGCCTTTTCTTTATCATTTGCCAGACTGAATAAAAGAAGACTTTCAGCAAGAAAAAATAGGAATCAGATAAATTTTTCTTCTGGAACATGTGATCTTTGACTAAACTACTTTTTGAAGTGTTTATGGTTACATAGAATTTGGGCAGTTACAGCTCTTCATTTCCAGAGGTGTTACGAGGTGCTTCTAAATGTGACATCCTGAAAAATGCAGAAATCAAAAGGATGTTGTATGCTGAGCTATATAAACCAGCAGTCATTTTCATGTGTGTACATGGTCTAAATAAGTGTCTTTAGAAACCAGTTGCTGCAGATCTTTCTGTTTACTTCACATAATCCTGATTATAAATGCTCTCTACTTAAAAACAAATCATTATCAGTGGTTGGTATAAGTCAGCAATTCTGTAGCAGCCCTCAAGTAATTGGAAAGGTACCTTCATGGTATTGAAAAATCAATTGGAAATCTCCTTCACTCTGTACAGATCTCAGCATGTATGACAAACACGTAATAGTGGTGAGTTAGTGTGGGATGCACTGAAGACAAAACTGGCCATATGGTAAAGGCTTTCTAATGAGGCTTTGGATGTTATTTTCATTGCTCCAGGCTACTCTCTGCAATAAAATACTGTGGACTTTGTGCAGGGTAACCTCATTAAATATATGAATATATCTCTGAAATGGGATATTTTTCTCCTGTTTCATCTACTAAGGGTTTTAGCAAGGCCATTCTGCCTTTAGGCTGAACTGCCATCAATTTCTCCTGCAGATTTTTATGCAAATTTAAACTTCTGCCTTTTGATGGATCATTTTAAATTCTGAAAACTGCTTCAAAATAAATTACATCTTGTCCTTCTGAGATAACCAATGATCTAAAATATATTCTCTGCCAACTATAACCGCACCTTCCTTTTTAACTCAAATCCAATTCAAAAACCAAAAAAGTCACAGAAAACTCCTATTAGCCCAAAATACAATAACACCTATAATTCTTGAGCCAGATGCAGGGATGAGTTGTATTTTTAGTTTGTAGGGAAAACTAAGTCCAGAAGAGATTTGAACAAAAGCAGTAATACACTGCTAAGTGCTTATTACCCTAAGGTGAAACCTTTCCATATGAAGATTTTACCATGGCCATGATGTACTCTTCTACTTTTTTTTTGGGGGGGGGGGGGGGGGGGGGGGGGGGGGGGAAGGATGAGCTGGAAGATTCCTAGGATAAGTTTACACTTCTTGGGTTATTTTTTCCCTTTATTTACAGAAAATGCCATTTCTGCCACAAGAAAAATAGAGTTTATAGCACCACCTGTCCTCCTTCAGAGGTCTTATTTGTACCTGCAGTCCTGAGCTGAGGAGCTGCACTATACTGGAGACAATTTCAGCAATTAAAGAGAGCTATATGAATTATAATTGCCAGCCCAGATGCATGTTTGCTTGCAGCATTCACTGCAAATTGTCAGCTGGCTGCACTCCCACCCCCTCTTTTTTGTTTTTTTCTAATATCATTGCAAAGTTGGAGAGATCCTCCAAACTGATCAAGTGAAACCCAGGTGACCTCTCCTGTGAAGGCTGACAGTTCAAAAGTGATGTTTCCACTTCCAGTTCCGAAGACTACCCTAGGCAGCAAACTGGTGGGAAAGGTTTTTGTAATGGGTGCTCTTCCTTTCTGCCAAAAAAAAAGTGGTAGCCATTTCCACTGCTGTGCAGAAAGCCTTTAACTACTGTGTTCAGGAGGCACTTGAATTCTTGTCCCACTCAGCAGAGCAGGCAGTTTGCCATCTGATTGCATTCAGAGTTGCAGCTATCTTGATACACCCACTCCCCCTTACACACACAAACCTGAGAGTTCATGCCTCTTTAGCACCATGACAAGCTGCATGCACCTAAAAAAAACCCAAACCAACCAACCAAACAAAAAGGTTTATTTTACATCGTGATAAAAAGGGGGAAAGTACAGAACTGAAACTTTTCTGTCAGAAATGTGTGCCCCTGTGTATTACTTCCAAGTTACTGGTGTATGAAATCCTATGTCACCTCAGCTGTGCAGGATGCTACATAAGAAAAACAGCATACTGTGGCAACAAGGCTTGCTAGGATCAAGGGAGCCCTCTTCTCTGGCTGGGAACATCTGCCATGGCTTGGCAAGTTACTTGATCTTGCAGTGTGCCTTGATTCCAGACCTCAAAAACGGGGGCAAATAGAATTTTGCTATTTCCCAGGGACTTTTGGTCAGGTTAGCATCACTGTAGGGTTGCCACAGTGCTCAGAAATTGGGACATAATACCTTTATCATTTTTAGACCCTTTATTTCTCCTGCTTTATAGGTCTCTCAGAGCAGTAGCATAAGCTACCAATGGATCCCATTAGAAAACACATCCACATGAAATTCAGCAACATCCCTGATGCTGCTTTTGATGCCAGGGAGAGAGCAAAAAGATGCAGTGATAGCTGTGATAGCAGAGATGTCTACTCAGGTTCAGAGAGGGAATGTCAGGTGGACTTGGGACATGCATTTCTGAACATATGATGTGGCCACTTCTTGAAAGGACAAGAAATAAATTCGGGACAAGGAATGTGTGTGAAGGCTACTGGTAAGTTTCTGGATCACAGCTTTGGGTGTGAACACCAAACTAGCCCAGTTACAAACCTCAGGTGCAACACCCACACCCACACACACCATAGTAGGGATCAGATTTTAGCTGACCATGCTGAAAGCTCATGTGTCTTTATAAAAACGGATTTCTGCTGAAACCAGAAGAGAGTCTTGGGTTCATACTACTTTGCTATCCCAACTAGTGCACTCTCATCTGTGCTGGTTCCCTGCACAGAAAAGGAAAAAAAAGGGTGAGTCAATCCTGAATTCTGATGAAAGCCAGACCACACCAAAGCCAGGGTGTCACAGGTACTGTCCCTGTGCCAGGCTGCCCAGAGCCCTCTGCCTGACCGACCCATTTTAATTTTACCAGAAACTTTCCCCTGGCAAGACTATTAAATACATTTCCCGTAAGTGCTGCCATCCTGCCGTCACACGGCCCAGACACTCGCTCGTAGCACTCAATCACAAAGTCATGGGATCACTCCAGTTGGGAAAGGCCTCTAAGATCATCGAGTCCACCCATTATCCCAGCATTGCCAGGGCCATCTCATCACCCCGTCCTTAAGTCCCACATCCACACGTTTTTTTGAACACTCCCAGGGACAGTGATCCCACCACATTCCCTGGACAGCCTGTTCCAGTGCTTAACCACCCATTCCGTGAAGTTTTCCCCAATATCCGACCTAAACTGCCTCTGGCTCAACTTGAGGCCTTTTCCTCTCGTCCTGTCGCTCATTTCCATGGAAGCAAAGTCCTGAAGTGGTTAAGCCCCGCACGCCGAGGAAGTTTGACACAGCAGAATCGCTTCTTCCCAGACACCACCACACTCCCGACGGCATCTGCTCAACATCTGCAGGAAGGTTTTGAGTCCTTGTCCCGCAACCCTGTGTGCCTAAGGGGTGCTTGCCAGCGATAAACCGCCCCCCACCCCAGCCTCTAGCATTTTCCCGTTTTAAACACTTGTGTGTTGGATTTCACTGGCTCACGGCTGGAACGCAGGCAGAGGAGTGATGACAGGGATGGAAGGGCTGCGAGGAGAAAAGGGCCCGTGGCTATTTTTGCACGTCTTTGCCCTCGGGTGAGATACTGCCCCCGGGCCAGAGCAACTCCATCCATGGGTGCTGCAGCCCACGCCCACGACTTTGGGGTCATTAGGGAGTTTTTATGTCACTCTCGAGCTGGCCGCCCGCGGGGCGGAACTCTCAGTGCGGGGCAGCACGGAAGGTTTCCAGCGCCGGACGCGGCGGGGCCGGAAAGCGGCGGCGGCTCCGCCGGGGTGGCGGCATGGCGGGCTGGGGACGGCTGGTCCGGCTCGGCGGGCGCCTCTGGGCGGCGGCGGCGCCGCCGGCTCCCGGGCACAGGTAGCGGGACGGCTGGGAGGGGAAGAGGCTGCTCCGGGGGAGGGGAGGGGAGGGAAAGAAGAAGCGGCAGGAAGAGCGGGGAGCAGAGCGTAGCTCGGCCCCTGTCGCAGCCCCGAGGTCATAGAATCGTAGAATGGCCTGGGTTGGAAGGGGACTTCAAAGATAATCTAGTTCCAGCCCTCTGCTGCGGGAAGGGACGCCTTCAGCTAGACCACGTTGCTCAGAGCTGTATCCAGTGTGGCCTTGAACGCCGCCAGGGATGGGGCATCCACAGCTTATCTGAGCAACCTGTTCCAGTGCTTCACCACCCTCACAGCAAAAAATTTCATCCGAATGTCTAATAGAAGCCTACTGTCTTTCACTTTGAACGCATTCCCCCTTGTCCTGTCCCTACATGTTCTTGTAAGTAGTTTTGCCTCGTCTGTCCTATAAATTCCCTTCAGGTACTGGAAGGCGAGGGGCACCTGAGCGGCCCTTTTCCCTCGGCGTGCTCCTGGGCGCCGCCCTTGGGAGAGGCCTCTGTGTGCATGGAAGCTTTGCTCGGGGTTGTCATGGCCTACTGGTGGAGCATTCCAGCCTTAGAAACGGCCCCAGTCTCCGTGAGAGTTATGGCAGAACAGGCATATTCACATCCAAAGCACTTTGCAGCATAGTGAGCGACTTGACCTGCCATGTTTTGGGTCACCTTGGCCCGCTGACCACGTGCATTCACTACCTGTACTATTAAATGCTCTTCTGTTGAAATTGCAGAGGATTGGGGAGCATTCAAGCCTTTTTTAGCCCGCATAGAATTTATGGCAGGACACTGAGCTGTTTAGCAGTGTTTGTAGAATCAGAGGGGTGTTGGGGCTGGAAGGGAGCTGAGGAGCCAAGTTCTAAGCTGAGGTCTAAATTCTTTCTCACAGTATAGCCAGCCCTGAGGTCAGACAAGGTTGCTCAGGGCTTTGTGGTTTTGGGACTGAATGTTCACAGTCCCTCTAGACCCCAGTGCCAATGCTTGATTGTCTTCAGGCTGAATACTTTTTTCCTTACGTCAAATCTGAGTCCCCCTTTTCAGTTTACAGCATTTCTCTCACTCTCCTGTCCACCTCATTGACATGGCCTGCCTTGGTCTTGTCAGTAGCTTTTTCACAAATTACTCTGTGCCACTTGTGGATGAGACTGTGCATTTCTCCTTTATGAATTTCGCTGGGTTCCTTGTTGGCTTGTCCCTCTGGCTGGCAGAGGACACCCTTGAGCATCATCCACTGCTCCCTTCAAACTTAAGAAAGGTGCACTCATCCCCTCTCAGAGGCCACTGATAAAAATAGTGAACAGGACAAGTCCCTGAATAGACTCTTGAGTGACTCTATGTTTAATTGGCCTTCTAGTAGAGTCCAAACCATCAGCTGTGACTCCTTCATCTAAAGATCCAGCCAGGTTTTTGCTCAGCTGATAGCCTGCCCATCCATGCCATAACATCCCATCTTGGATAGAAAGATGCCACAAGAGATTGTTTTAAGAGGTCTTCTGAAGTTAAGGTAAACTACCTCCTGTTGTCTTCTTGTTCATGGATCTAGCTGGGGTTTTTTATCTTAAAAGGAGTCGTTGGTTGCTCTGTTGTTGCTTGCTCCCCTTTGGTATAATTCAGAATACTTAGTCAAACGACAGATAATTGTTTGATAAATTAGATGTAACATACATGTTATGAGACACTTTTTGTACTGATGAGGCACTCAAAACCTTTTCTCACCTCTGGAAAGGCGTCAGCTGGGCTTTGTAGTGAGACACATCAACAGTTCAACATGGTGGCACGAGCATCTTTCTGAAGAGAATGTGGAGTTCCTCAAGAAGATAACTGCAGAGGAGTACAAAGCTCAGACAGCCAGCAAGCTGTGCCCTCTGAAAGATGAGCCATGGCCACTGCATAAGTGGACACCAGGTGAGAAAGTTTCTCTTCTGAAATGCCTGTTCATGCTGAAATTATTTGTATTGTTGTGTTGTTGCATTCAGTAACATCAGGATTGTGTCTTGTGAAATACTCTCCTTTTGGCTTTCACATCAATCATTCAATAAATCTCCCAGTAAATAAATAAATATAATACATTAGTTCTCTAAAAAGCATTTAAAATACAAAAGATGTTAAGAACCTTTTAAGAGCTTTTAGTTCTTTAGTTTAGTTTTTTGTTGAGCCCTTGGCTCATCCCACTGCTGTACAGCAACAAGATAATAAATTAAGAATTCTTCAGAAAAAGTCTCCTTAGAATATAAAGTGTATGAGCTTGAAAATGTTCTTGTTAATATTGCTGGACTCTGAAGAAGAAGTGTAGTATATAATACATCCCACTTCCTGTCTGTGATTACAAATTCTTATGGACTAGAACACAGAATTAAATTTTTGAGCTTTCAAAAGGGTCATATCATTTGTGTGGCAGACTTGACAGGTTGCCTTTGCAAAGATTGGGGTGGGAGGAACCTCCTACAGTAAACTTTCCAACAGTTAGTTTGGCTCTAATACATGGGTGTTTTATTTTGGAAAAAAAACACAACAAACCAAAAGTAGTTGCATTTTCTGTCAAACACAACTGAAAGAGCTAGAGCTTTACTGCTGATGGGATTAAAAACCCTCAGCCTACCTGAAAGATTTAGCTGTGTTTTCTCTCCTTCACCTCCTTAAGAAAGATCAGAGTTAATGGGATTAATTTGAGTTAATTTGCAGATTATTGCGTGAACTCTTTCAGTTATTAAGTGTGAAGGTGCATCCATGTTCTGTTTCGATCTACAGATTCCATCAGAGTTGGTGTTGTTGCAGTAAAACTGGGAATGATGCCAATATGGACCAAATCAGGAGAAAAACATCCTGTCACACTCCTTAAGGTAAAATAAACCATAATGAATTTAATCTCCTACACTGGATTGTAAACCAGCTGTTTCAAGGAAAGGTGAAACTTACTACTTGTACGGAGTAGGAAATCCTGAAAGCAAGTAAAGATTTCTTTCACTCGTTTATAGTACGCCATGCCCATTCTGTTTATATCCAGACTTCTAGGAGTGGTCTGCCCTGCTGCCTCAGCTATTCAGATGTTGCAGAGCTGTGAGTGGTGTTACCTAGGTGATGCAACAAAGCTGGGGTTAACTATCCCACTTCACTTCTTTTATTTATCCACCTGCAGGCATATTGGGATTAGTTTCACCTTGGTTTCTGAGCCTTTGTAGCTCTGAAGCTGCTTCTTCATATTCTCCAGCAGCTGCTCTTGTGATGAAGCCTTTTGCTGACTGGCTGCTGCTGTAAGAGGAGCCACTGCTGTGAAGGCCATCAGGTTTACAGGGCAAAGAAGCAGGAGTCTAAAATGGAGGCTCTTACTGTGTGCTTTGAGTGCTTATAATAGGGCTTTTGCAGATCCTGTGTGAAAAAGGTGATTATCATTTCTAGAGCATTTATGAAATTCGTTTTCATTCTACTAATTTTTTTTGCTAAAATAAGCCTTCAGTTGACTGGAAAAGCAATGTCACTGGTAGAAATGTAACACACTGTCTTACTTGTAGGCTGCATCTTCTGTTATGAAAACAGAGACTGACTTCAATATTTTGGTGTCTTAAGGTGTACACATCTGCTTATGGTCAGACAAATGCTTTTTCTTTTCTCTAGGTTCAAGATTGCCATGTTTTAAGATACGTTTCAAAGGAAGAGTCGGGTGGAAAAACAGCTAAGCTGCTTGTTGGAGGCAAAAATGTATCTCCTTTTTCTGTAAGTGAAGCACTTTGGATGTCACCTTTGGAATAGTTTCTGTTGTGATTACAAAACAAAAGTAGCATAAGTAGACTTCTCTGAAAGATTTATTGGCAGACAAGCGTGCTTTGTAATTGATCTTTTGTCACATTCACCTTTGCTGTTTCCTAAAGCAAGTGTAAATTCTTGGCTAAGATAAAAGCAAGAATAACTTTGTGAAAGTTTTACCTCATAATCCTCTAGGAAAGCTGTGGCTTTAGGAATTTGCTTTGATGTGCAGTATCCCATGCTGGCGAAAGAGTTTGAAGGGCCGCTAGCAGTGGAAAAATGTGTGTTCTTCATGTCTTTAGAGATGCAGTTGAGATGAGGACTTCAAGATACATACCTCGGGGGCCTATAGTAAACTTACTCAGATTCATCAGTTTACAGCTTAGTGCTCTAGCTTACTGTACTGTCTTTTTAGCTATAGTTCATATTTTTCCCCAGGTCTGTCAACGTTGTTTAATTTGTCTGTAGTTCTGCTGGTAAGTAACTTTAAGACTTAGCCTTTCAAGAAGATAGCTTCATGATAGTAACTCATCAACAGCCATATCAAAGCTACTCACTTGTTTAGACATCCCAGTAGCTTCATGTGGAATTCCCAGATACCTCTAGTGGCTGAGGTTGTCTGGCAGAGCTGTCATTCCCCAGGATGAATTATAGATCAAGCAGGAGCAAAGCATTCCCTGAAAGGATTGCAGTTTCTCTCATGCATTATTTCTGTAAAATAAAATTTTTCAATTCTTGCAACATCCTGACACTCATTTGTCTGATTTAGGCAAGTAAAAAAATCTCAGGATTCATGACTATCAAGCAGGTTATCTCCGTTCATGATTGTGGCTTTTTGAGAACATAGATCTCCATTTTTCAAACAGATGGTTGTCCCAGAGCCTCAAAATTAATCTGTGTATTTGTTTCTGCTTTAGTGGAGGTAAGAGGAGAAGGTCCTCTTTTCTTTTGATAGATCTGTTGGCTTTTTTAGCATATTCTATTGATTTTGATCAGGATTATACTTCCAGGTCCAGGGCTTTTTATTCAGTTGCTTTATGCCACGTTTGACTATCACAGCTTCTGCTTTTCAGGTATCTATCCTGTCACTTCAGTCCATTTCCACTTTCCAGGTATGACATTTTTCCTGGAAAAATGACAGCTGTGTTTTTATCTTTCCTGTTACTTTGGTCTAAGACATACAAGAATCGTGGGAATAATGATTTTCAAGTTGTATTTTGCCCATTAGACTCCTTAAAGTTGATCTTTTCATGCAGGTGGTGTTACCAGTAAATCCAGTATGTTGTCAGAGTAAAAAAATGCCAGAAATAAGGCGGTATAAAGAAAACTTCTTTATAAACAGCTCCTATGAAAATTTCTTCAGAGCAGAACTACCTAAAAATTCAACTCAAGGACTTTTTAGTAGTGTGAGTTATGTCAGAGACTTTCTTTGAGCATAACTTTTCCCAAGTTAGCTTCTATTAATTTGGTTGACCTTAGATTAATTTTAATAAAAAAATTAATTAAATATCTTTTGAGCAATATTTGGTGAAGTCCTAGCCTGAGACTGAACTGTGTAATAATAATAATAATAATAATAATAATAATAATAATAATAATATATACTGAGCTCTATTATTATTTTTGGCATCATCATTGTATAAACTAGATAATTCCCAAGGAAGTATTTGGCATGCTGATTCTGAGCAGTTTTACTTGTTAAGGTACTAACAAGTGATTTATTTCTTTGGTTTAGCTGCAAGTTTTGCTGTTTTCCTATGTTTATCAGCCTTTTTATGTGTTTCTTTTCTCTTTGAAGTGTCAGAAGTGAGAATTAAAATAAAGGTGAATGATACTGTCTTTGTATTAGCATAAGCAATTTCTCTTCTGTTAATTCCTCATAGGAACATCTGTCTTCCTCAGATTCCTCACAGCTGCTGATTTTTAATGAATTCAGTCAAAAGATTCCTTCAGTAATTTTTCTAACAAAGAACTTCCTGTATTTCTTTGGAGTGTCAAATTGCTTTAAAACTGATAAGGGGTATTGCATTTTTAGCAAGATTAATTTTTCCTTTTTAGCTTGATGTATGTCACTCTGTTGTAAGTGAACAGATTTTTCATGATTTTTTAATGCAAAATTACGCTCAAAAGTACGGCTCTATCAATGCTCAAACTTTTTTTTTTTTTTGGTCAAAAATATTTTATATGCTTCCTACAAGTGAGGGCATATTGATAATTTCCCTATAATAATGGAAGATATTGCTGGTGTTTTTAAAAATAAGGAACATCTGAGAATTCACTCAGTGTTCCCCTCTTTAATATTGATTTTTAGGAAGGATTTGTAAAGACATCAATGTTTTGTTTGTAAAAATACATCTCTCTGACTTGGCCGTTTGAAGAGGAGGATCTGTTACAGTAGAACAATGCAAGGCTACAGCCTAGAGTAGGACTCCTGAGATGTAAATGAATTTTACCCTTTGACTTCACCATGCTCTCCTTCAGCTGTGGTAGCTCTTTCCAGCCATCCATGCTGAGCACAGGGCTCCCCTTGCTGTAGCTTCAGGCAGCAGTTTTACATAAGCAGAAATAAAGGATTGATATACAAGCCCTTAGTAGGAAGTCCATATCTTTATTTTTCATTCTCACATCTAGTTCTGCAGATAAATACAGGTGCTCCACTGATCCCTCAAATATTTGTGGTTGTAGGAGAGATTTTATATGTAGTTGATTCTGGCTTTTAAAGGTATTTGAGGTATTTTGTAGTGTGACCTCAAGTTAACAAATCTCTAAAGAAACACTTTTCACTCTCAAAGACAGATTCATCAGCTTAAAATTTCTAGGGTTTTTTCTAAATCAGAGATCCTCATCATCTTGCTTCTTTATTCTTCATAAAACTTCCTCTGTTCTAACACTTCAACAAATGTTTGAAAACAAAAGAAAGGGCAGCATGCAGATTTTCAAACCTCTGTTTTCAAATATACTAAGTAATGTTTTTAAAGTTGTCCACATTACTTGCTCTTAAAATACACAAAATAATTTTTGAGAGAGGGAACTGCACAGGAGTTTTGAGAAGCAAACCTCAGAGATTAGATTATCCAAGTGTGAGAGTACTGTTAGATGCTTAAATTGCTTTCTACCAGAAATCATTTGAAGGAAAATCAGCTGCATCACTTTTTTTTTCCCTGCGGCCACAATTTTCCTGCCTCACTGTTTCTGTTGCTTGGTTTTGTCTCAGTAGTCTGCTGTTCTGTGAGGTCTTGTTTAAAACAGCTGAGAATAATTTTAAGTACTTTTAAATTTGTCAGACTCATCTGAAGAGAAAATCCCTGCTTTAGTAAGTCAGCAGTGGTTTGACACCAAGTGTACTTGCTATATCTTAAAAATACATGGATCATAAACTTGTTGTTATTAATTTTTCTTTTTTTTTTTTCCAGAGACTCAAAATTTTCTTCTGTGGAAAATTAAGCATTTCTAGAAGTTTCTGCAAGATGAGAATTTGTTTCTATGGTTTTGTTAGCTAAATAAGTTACATTTATCATGATGTGGAACTAAGTCATCAGAAGCTTTGAAAAAGAGAACCTACTTCTAAATTGATGCAAAACTCCTTCTAAGCCATGAAAAAAAATAGCATCTGTCATTACATTCTAAATGATTGGTTTCCCTTTAATGATCTTCGATATCTTCATATATCTCTTGTTTATACTAGGTAGCTGTAGGGTAACTACTTGACAGAAAACAAAAGGCAACACAGGAGTTTTTAAATAAACTTTATGTAGAGATAAAATGCAAGCCTCAGGATGAAATTCTAGTATGATGTATCTGTTTCTCTGAGTGATGTTGACGGCCTGTAATTGTTTTCTGTGCTAGATTGATTTTTAGGTATTTTATGACTTCTTTTTTATGCCTGCTTTTTGTTACAGAAACCAGAGTCTGCACATGAAATTTTTAAAGAAGCTGGAGTGCCACGGAAGCAGAAAGTTACAACATTTAATGTAACAGATGATGCCATAATTAAACCAGGTAATCTTTTTGAGCTACTGAGTATTATGTGCGTAGTCATTTAGCATCTGCCACTTGTAGACCTAAATGAAGTTATATTGATGATGCATATTTCTGTGTAGTTTTTTATAGAAATTAATAAATTCTTTGTCATTAAACACAAGCAAACCTTTTTCATAGGGAAAATTGGAAGGTGGGTTTTGCATTTTAGTTGGTGAGATGTAGGATTTTTGCTTATTCCAGGATACTATGTTTCCATCTATGAGAAAATAAATCCAATCCAACTTTACTAATCTGAACATTAAGAAATAAATGTCTGTAACCTTGACTGACTTCTAGGGCATAAATTTGGGTACAGTTGCAGGAAGATCCTTATGAGAGGGACACAGAATTTTGTTGTAATGTTTCTCAGGCCCCTGAAATAGCAGTTCAAGTTTTATTTCTTCTTGCTGCATTTAAAAGTAGGACGATGGCTGCTATTTCTGACAGCTTGCAAAGTAAAACACACTAAAACATATTTATAACAAACATTCTCACTAAAAATCAGTAGTGGAAGTTTGGAGATCAAATAAAAAGTTATAAGTTTCTGAGGTTTTATTAGGTAATTTATTTAGGTTGCATTTATTTTGTGGTTTTTGGCAGTTACAGGTATTTTCTGAAGAATTATGTAAGGTAGGAAATTTTAATGTATCGCATCTTCAGTGCCATTAGTGGAGCATTTTGCAAGAGTTTTTTAACACAGTGCAGTAACTGATAAAAATCAAATGTGACATGAAGAGGAAGTCTCAACTGATAAATGGAAGCAATAGCTTGAGATAAAGCAGAATTGCAAGTTTTTGATAAACTGTTTTTGCAGTGTGTCTATTTTGTACATAACATATTTTATGTGCATGATTTTGTGCCAATTGGCAGTTATCTTATCCAAATGTGTGGATTATATAAATATAACATGAAATAATATGAAAATTTTATTCTTGAGACTTATGAGAGGTTTACATCATTTCAGTTTTCATTCATACAGATTTGAGAAAGCATGAAAGCAATGCAGAAAACATGAAGCAATTAAAATTTCATATTTTTAAATGGATGTATAACAGACTGCAAACTGAAATATGCAGGCACATGAATCTTCAGATTAAAGTTCATTTATAAGGAACTAAGTTATTGGGTTTGCTTTGTTGGGTTTTTTAAGCTGCTAATGAAAGAATATTTGTACATGGATTAAAAAAATCACTGAATACAAAATAAATCTAAAACTAATGTTTTGATACTGCAAGTACTTAAGGAATTAGTGTCATTACAGTGAGGTGAGTGATGTCACTGACCTACAGTAGCACTGTTTCTACTAAAGGTTAGAGTGTAGAGAGTTCCTCAGAGGAGGAAGCTGTACTTTAGCCACAGACTTTAGTTTGGAAACACTGTGTCTTAATACCTCTATTAAGTGTTGCAAAAAAAATTTTTTTAATCCCATTTTTTATAGTAAATGGTGGGGGGTTGTGGTTTGTTTGGTCTCTTGGTTTGATATTCTTTAAAAATCTCTTCACCTTGTGAAGTGCTAGTAGTTCTAGGTGCAGCATATTCTGTTTTTTTGCTAAGCATATATATTATGGGTCTTAACTAATTAGGCACGTTGGGCTTTGGCAGTGTATGAAGGGCAATGTATCTCAGTAAAGCCTTGACCCTGAAATTGGGTTATATCCTCAGAAGTGTGCTTAAATAGTAAATCCATCACATCTATTTCAGTCAGTGAGGTTCATAAAGAAGAGCAAATAAGATGTAAATAACGAGTTCTGATTCCTTTCCTATGACTGCAACCTACCCTAGAGGATAATGACTGGGTGGTTGTTTGAGGATTTCAGCACTAAGCTGAACATGATCTCTCCTCTTCTTCTGCAGGTACTCCTTTGTATGCTGCTCACTTCCGCCCCGGGCAGTTTGTGGATGTTACTGCAAAAACGTAAGTGCCTGAGAATTTATCGTGTCTTAAATCTCTCTCAAAGAGACCAGCTGATTTTATTTTTTCCTTCTAGTTTGGCTTGAACCCACGGCTCTCAAAAACCAAAGTACAATTGCAACGGTAGTGACAGGTAGTGTCACTCATTGGGTCAAAAATATCAAATTATGTTTCTTGATGAGGCTTTCTCTGGATTTTGAACAAGGCAGGTAGACTATTAATACTCTTCAGGCTGAGATTCTGCCTGTGTTGTCTCTCACATGCCCATGATTAGCACGGGCAAAGAGATGTTTAATGCAGTATCTCTAGTATGTAAAAACGGAGAATAAATGCTGAAAGGCATTGGTTCCCAAAAAGACTGCTTCATTTTAATTTGATGGAGATGAAAAGAGAGATGTGGACTGAAAGGATAGCAGAAAGATAGTGAATACATTTAGCAGTACAACAGAGCTGTCAAATAATTTTTTGGGGTTTTTTTTGTTTTTCTCACATTCCAGCTCATGTCCTTGCCAGCAGTGGCTAATAATCTTTTACTTTAATGTGAGAGGAATAATTTCCTCTCAGACCAATGCAAATGCCAAATTAGAGCTCAAGTAATAGAGGATGTTCAAAAGAAAAACTGGCATCTTGTGGCAAAGACTGGTCCTGGTTCTTGTAGTACATCTGTGATTTTCCCTGACCAAGTGCACTGCTGTCTGCATATTTCAGTGTTGTGATACAAAGCTAATATTTGCCACTACATGTTTTATTTTCTCTGCAATGGAGATAGTACCCAGCTACAGTTGTTTCACATGTAGGGTGTAATAACTTTAAATGTCCAATACTCTTCACAGGATTTTGTATATATGGGGAAACCAGCCATATCAACAGAGCTGAATATGCAATTCTAATAGAGTTACACTTCACTACATTTGTGAAGGCACTCTATTGAGAAAAACAGTTTAAGGAATTGACTGGAATTAGTGTTTTTTCCAAGTCAGACTTTCTTGTGCAATACTTAGATCTGGCTTACTATTCATTCTGCTTCTAAATTGCATTCAGTGAGCATCCTGTGAGAGACCATACCTTGTTTGCAAAACAAAGCACATGATCATTAGGAATACAGTCATTTAATGGAGATTGTGTCAGTCTTTGTCAATGCAGAAAAGCTTTGTTTTTCTAGGAGTTTTTCCAAGAAATAAGAAAGGGATTTTTTAGCAGTGTAGAAGATATTGGTGAACAGCCACAGGGTATTGATTTATATCTTGCTTTCAGTATTTGAAAATGCAGCAAGCTAAAAATAGACTGAGTTCTTGGTCCTGTTCAGTGAATCTATCCTAGATTATAATTCAGTATTTCTAATATGCTTTCTCCAGATATTTGTATGATCCCATTTCAGAAATTAGCTGTGTGTTTGTACTGCTGATTTGGTATCATATTTCTTATAATCCTTCTGTAAAGGTGAAGGAAATGTTCTTTAACTAAAGAGAAAAGTGAAATGGGTTTTCTGTCAGTGTGATTCTCTAATCATTCCAGTTTTTCTATATCAAAAACTTTTAACCTTTTTCTGTGGCTCATCACGTTCTGATTTCTACTTCTTTGGAATACTTCATTTATCATGTTCTCTTCGCTCTTGGGCAAGAATTAAGTTGTGTTACTACGTTTCAGTTTTTCTTCTATTCTTTTACTTTTTTTCCATGCAATTTCATCCAGCAATTTCATCCCCATCCAATCTGGGGAAGGACTTGGAGGGAGGACCTGGATCTTTCTGATTCAAACTATTATGGACTTGAAAAACAGTAATTCCTAAAAATATGCTGTCAAGTAAAGTTTATAGAAATGTATGTACATGAACATGTACTTTACATTTTTGAGTTTGACAGTAATTTTGCTTTAATTGGAGGAAACACTAGAGTGTACAATTTTAGAAATAATGTGGATGAAAATAGCAGTCCTGTTGATAATAACATGATTAATTGTAGTAAGTCCTTTAAAAAGGAAAGAAAGAAAAGAAAGAAAACTAACGTCACCTCAGAGGAGATAATATAGTCGAATATAAAGGATATTTTAATCTTTTACCAACTTTTAATTCTTCAGATAAGCAAGATACCCTTTTGTGTGCTTCCTTCTGCCAAAATGTAAATTAAAAATATGCTCCTTATAAACAAGCAAACTTAAAACTTCATTTTAGAAGTCTTGGGTTAGCCTCTTCATTTGGTTACCAAAATGTAGTGGGGGTTTTTATGACTGTCTTCTTTTAGTCTTCCCTACAGATGTTTTTGTCAAAGTCTTTTGAAATGTTTTGATTCATTTATACCTCTGTAAAGAAAAACACTTTCACAGGAATGAGAGGGTTCAGTTAAAGATTTATGTTTGCACTTCGTTTTTATTTGAAATCTCGTAATTGTTCAGCAGGGTATGAGTGGCTTTTAGAGCAGAGTAGGCAGTGTGTCTGCATGCTGTCAGTCTTCTATAGTGCTGAAATATTTTCCTTAGTATTTATTTTCAGCAATTTAAAAGCTCAATCCTTGAGTTTAGCCCTGCTAAGCTTGGAGCTAAAATGCACAACACCATCCAGAAACATTTCTGTCACAGGCTGTGGCTCTGTGGTTGCCTCTAGGGATGGATCATCTCCCCTATGAGGAAAGGCTAAGGGAATTGGGATTGTTCAGCCTGGAGAAGAGAAGGTTTCAGGGTGGCCTAGTTGCAGCCTTCCAGTACCTGAAGGGAGCCTGTAAGAAAGATGGAGAAAGAATATTTACAAAAGCATGTGGTGACGGGACAAACAGCTTCAAACTGGGAGTAGGTTTAGATTAGATATTAGGAAGAAATTCTTTACTGTAAGGGTGGTGAGGAACATCAGAAATGTTGTCAGTCTCAAGAAAAAGCCAACAGCAGTTTTGTTGGAAATAGGCTAGAATTAAGTGGCGAGTCTGGAGTGTTTATGGTTTATTTCAGTTCTGCTTGATTAACAGTGTAATCTGAGCCTGAATCTGAATTCTCCATTTGCCCAAAGTTACTTGAGTAAGTAGTTGGAATACTTTTCCCTTGCAGCATTGAAATAATGCTCTTTTAAATTAACTACGTTTGAAGAGTTACTAGCAAAATAAATTATTGCTTAATTAGAGTGCTTTATTCCAGTAGCTTTCTAAATGAAAGTTCTCTCATTATGTACTGGTATTTTACTTGTGTCAAACCTGGAAAATGAGGGTTTGTACAAAATTAGGTGGTTGACCTCAACACCTGCCTTCCTGCAGGTGAAACCAGAACAACTGTAATTAAATCTATTTTTAACTCTGCAGAAAGATTATTTTCCTTTTATTTAACTCTTACATGTCTAAGTTGTTCTTATCATGATTGCTCCCTGTGATTACTTTCTGGGAATCGGGTAATGATTCACTCAGTGAAGCCAACTAAGTCACTAAATTGCATCTGTTGAAGAACAGGGACATTCTACATTTCAAATCTAGTTCTATAAGTCTTATCATGCATGTGGGGTTTTGTGTTCAGATATGGTGTCTAACGTTACTGTTAGAACATTAAAAATGTACAGCCCTTGATTCAAACCAAGACAAGGGGTCTAAGAAGATGGTTTATCATGATATCACAACAGGATAAGTAGGATGTCAAACATTTTACTTCAGCGTAGGTTCTTGGTTATCATATCTCAGATACTGTAGCAAACTCAATTCTTTCTGAGTGGATTCTAGTTATTTATTCTGTAAAGTTAATATATAGTACTGGATTAACATCCTGTTTTGACAGACTTTAATGTTTTTGGAAAATCTCAACTGGCTTAGGTTGAGTTTCAATAATTATTTTTCTTTTATTGGTGATACTTGCTGAATGTATTCACACCTAGTAATTTTTAAGAAGGGCAAAGGGGGCAATTAAACAATTTGAAATTAAATGAATGATATTAATAGCTGACACCTGGTGTCTGTTCAGAAATCAACAAGAATATAATTTTACATAATATTCATTATCTTTGTCAGAATAAAAAATGTTTAAGAAAATTGTACAGTGCACTGCTTCTTGTACAATGCTTCTCTAATTTTCCATGGTATGTCTTGAACAGTATGCATCTTAAGTTCTCTTCCTTGTTTATATAAGATAAATACTGGTTTCAAGAGCACATTGCATTGCATAAAATTTGAAGAATGTAAAATTTTTGCATTAGAAATACAGATAAGTTGTGGGTCATGGAAAAGTTACTCATCATATATTTTTTGCATATAGTGGAGAAATTCACCACTTGTCAGAAAACAGATCTTATTCACATCAACTTGAGCTGGAAAAACACTGTTCTTTAGAATGCTGGAGGTATATTGGCTGAGCTACTAACTGCCTAATTGACCAGTTTTAAATTTTATTATAAACCAGCTATTAGTAGTTCCTTAGTTTAGTTTAAACTTTACATTCAGTCTAGATAATCTTATTCTGTTCTTATTCTGGTTCCAGCTTTATTTCAGATGGAGCATGAGCCAAATAGGAAATATACACTGTGTAATTTTTTTGTCTTCTTGACATGTGTTGAAAAAACATTACACATAGTTTATTCTTTTGTAAGGTAAAAAACTCCAAAATGAAAAAAAACCTTATAGCTACTTCTTATTTAATTATTTCAATCATGGTGGCTGTGTCATATTGAATAGGAAGTTAATGTCAGAAAGTCATAAGGTAAAGTGTTCTTGTGGATAATTGAGTGATTTTTACAAATAAAAAATGAAACTAATCTGAAACATTATTGAACTATATGATGGAAAAACCTTGCTAGATAGTTAAGCTTTGTACATTGTAAAAAACTCTTAATTTCAGCATTACAATATCTTTCCTTGACTTTAAGCAGAATATTTCAGAGGCTGAAGATTTGTTTTCATATTCCAGATCAACAGATGTAAGAGAATTTTCAGGTTTACCAGACTGCTCTTTTATTACACTTTTATTACACTGATCACACTTTCTGTAAATTTCCTAAGGCTTTGGTATTGTAAAATCTGAGTCCTCATTCACAAAAAATCCATGTGTAATTCGAAGGACCAAGAAGCAGCTGAGCATTCTCTATTGCATGAATCATTTAACACTAGCAACTCTATCTTGTGATATAATGACCTTTTTTTAAGATGTAATATTTTATGTACTGAACTCTTTTTTTCAAAATACATCTCCTGAATGTATTAAGTATTTATGCTTTAAAATTTTTAAAGCACAATGGACAGTATTCTAAATTGTTCATGTTAAAAAATGAGTAAGCTGAATGAAATACTGAAGTGGTTGCATAACATCAGAGGTTTGTTCTTCTTGGCTAAGTTTGACAGTATTGTTTGCTTTTGAAATGGTAGCTTTCTATGGTTGTGTGGTTTTCTCTGAATTGCAAGGGCATTTCTGCAGCTGAAGAATTTATCATGCCCCATCATTTAAGGAGAGAATGATCTGCTCACTCTGTTGACTGCACATCTGCAACCCACTTGCAGTTGGTTTTGGAGACTGCTAAGTCCATCTTGCAGCTAGAGATGCCAGAAGTAATCTGCTTGGAAACCACGGCCAGTAATAAGTAGTTTAAAAGAAAAAAATATTTTGGCAGGACAGATATGAGTGTTCCTACAGCATAGTTTCTGCCTGTATTTCATAGTTACTGCTCCCTAGCAATATGGAAACAGAAAAACACAAGTTTTGAGCCTCTCTTAAAGTGTGTATTTCAAGCCATGTTTTACGACTATTGCTGTTTACTACTGCAAGCTTTTAAAATAAGCTGATTCTCTCAGAAAGTGGTGTTACAAAGCCTTGCATCCTTTGGATTCCTGTCTTGTGTTCCTGATCCCAGGCAACCTAGGGCATCCCTCCTGCAGGTGCCTTAACCTCGTGCATTGTTAGTAGCACCATGCTCTGACCAACTGATCCAATTTCAAGTTAAATTTAATATTTAGTGTAGCCATAAACACTCTGGTCAGACTTCTCCTTTTGGACACAGACAGTGTTTAGCCCACACTTTATTCAGCTTTTACTTTATGCAGTGCTAATGTGATTTTTCCTATTGAGTCTATCCCTGCAGTAAATAGAGAATTCCAAAGCCAGTAATGCTTTGTGGTTCATAGATGAAGGGCATGGATTCTGAAAATAGATTGTATTTGGTACTGTGTTTTAGAACTTGTTGGATGAGTGAGGATTAAGGGAATTATGTGTCATTATACACAAAGCTGCTCTCAAGGATGAGTTTTCTGTAGTCTGGAAAAAAATGTTCATTCTACGTAGCCATCTCTTTCCTGTCTCGATGCTTAGGCCTGACATTAAGTTGAGGTGTATGGTATTATTTGGGGTTTTGACTGGGTTTCTATTTTCTTGTTCAGGTGCACACTTGGTGACAGATTCATTATGGTAACTTTTATTGAGGACAGTCACGTCAAGGAACATTTTATGTTGGTCTTCTTGCCTATTTGACTCTCTTCTAGTGCATCTTATTCTGTAAAGCAATCTTTAAGCATTGTGCTAAACTTATGTTTATGGTATAAAATACAGATTTTAGTTACATATATTCTTCCCTCAGCTGAGTGTTGTTAGAGGTAAAAAAATCATGAGCCTGACTGAAATTGTTGGCTATTGCTAGAAACCTTATGTCTGACTAACCCAGGTTTGTTTCTTAATTATTTTTGTTTTCAGAATTGGTAAAGGATTTCAAGGTGTCATGAAAAGGTGGGGATTTAAAGGTCAACCTGCAAGCCATGGCCAGACAAAAACTCACAGACGACCTGGAGCAATATCTACCAACGTGAGGATTCTCATTTCCCATTGAAACATTCTTCAGTGTTTTTAGAACAGCTTACTAAAACTGAACAAATGTAAAATAGCTAGCTGCCACATTTACTCTGTGCTAGCAGGGAATCCCAGCAGCAAAGGAAGTTCAGAAACCTGTATAAGGAGCAGTGCTATTCTCTTAAGCCTCGATTTATGAATATTCTGTATTGCTGGTAAATGCACATATTTTAACTGAGCTAATTGGCATATTTTGTAATATAGTGAGAGGAATAGTCGTAATACTTCAAAGAGAGTTCTAAGAAGCTTTTATTGCAGCATTTATAGATTGGAAAGGATTTGCCTGTTATTTTATCCTGCAGATATTGTACTGTTCTTTGGAACCCTGGTTCCTTTTATCACCTTGCCTGGCATGTGTAGCTGCTTAATGAACTCATCCCCATAATTTAGTAGGGAATTATTCCCAGAAGTGTGTAAGCTTCTATGCGTTTCTAAGCAGAGTACAGAGTCATATTTTTACATTTCAAACTATAAATAACATTAGTATAAAAGCTCTTTGAGCAGGTTAATTTTAGACTTTGTCTTATAAAGGCTGTACAATATTTAGACTAAACTAAGAGGAATTTCTTGCAAACTAATTAGGATCAACTGAGTCATAGTACTGAACATGAACTGTCTATAAATTTCTTAGAGAAATTAAATGTAAAAAAGGATTAATAATGCTCAAGAGAAAAGTAAAAGCAAAAAGGCAACCGTCAATGAAGTTTGAGTGAGAATGCAAAAGCATGTGTAACTGATTTATAGTCCTCAGTTTCAGCTGGAAAAAGAATTCTACACCTGGCATTTGTTTGCACTGAAGAATGTGAATATTTGAATGCTTAAGACTATTTTAGCAGATGATATTCATCATTACAAGATAACCCCTCTTTACTTTTCTTTATATTAGAATTTCCTAAGTAGTAATGCTGCATGTAATTTCATTAAGTATATAGAATGAAAAATGGTATTGGAAATAGGTGTGATGGGAAGGAAACAAGGTGAAAGGGTGCAACAGGGGAAAAACAATGCCATGATAGTACTTTCCCATCAGTGGTTGGTCATATCAGACATTTTTGTAATCTAGGACTGTTCAGTAGGGAATCCTCTCCCTAGAACTGCATTGCAACTGATTTCCTGAAATCACGATTTTCACAAGAATTAAGAAAAACTCCAAGAAACATGATTTATGAACAACAGAGAGGTGCAGGATACAAATCCCTTGATAACAGTGTAGAACTGAGAATTATTTCACTTATTCTTGCCTTTTTTTCCCCACCTGTGTTTTCCAGTTTATGCCCAGCCAATCAAAAATGTGGTACAGAAACTAAGGAATAGCTCTGGCAGGAGGTATTTAAAATGCTTATCAGGATTAGATTTTTTTTTTTCTTATATATATTTTCAGCCTTGGAAATACCAGCATATTTTCTCTGGTGCATCTCTTGAGTTTGTAAGTGTACCTCTTGCAGTTGACATGTTGGTTTTGGCCTTGTTTTTGTCTAGCAAGCTGCCAAAGTTTATCGTGGAAAGAAAATGCCTGGTAAAATGGGTAACATCTACAGGACATCTTTTGGCTTAAAGGTGAGTTCTGGGAATAGCAGTGTGTGTATAAGGTGGTGGCATTGCCAAGCAATGGTGTCCTGTCATCTCTGCCTGAATCCATACAGCAGCATCTTGAAGTAAGCTAGCTGGAAAGACCAGAGCAGCAAATGTGTTCTGTTCTCTTGTGGGTTACAAATAACTTCCCTGAATATCCTTTGTGTTTGTGGTAGTCTGTGAACTGGGATTTTGGGCGATACTTCCACATCCAGTGTGTTTTTCACTATGTCCCTTGACTTCTGCCTTTGAAGAGGGAAAGCAATCAGGCTTTTGGTCACCTCAGTTAATGTCTCCATGCCTATTCCATTGTTCATATCCAACTCAAATCTGAGTTGTTTGAAGCTCTAATTTCATCATGGCCTTTCACTTCCATGTGCAAAAAAGGAGTTATAGTTTATGCTCTGATTCTGATTTGTGCATAGCTACAGCAGCTCCTGAGCTATTAAAGCTACTCTGTCTCTGAAGGCAGCCTCTGCAGCTTGCACAAAAAGCATATTGACTTCTAGTTTGCAAAGAAATGCTGCTGTTGTTCTGAGTTTACTACAACTAATTTTTTTGTAGCAGAAAATGTGTGTGTTCAGTTGAGCACCTGATTGAGTTAAGAAATTAACATATGGTCACAGGAGCATTTTCATTAGGACATTTGTTCTATTTTGTCACATGTGATGTTTTTCATGTTTTCCAACATGTTGCTGTTAGAAGGAAAAGAGACGTAGGAGCTTTGGTTGTGTTACGCTGAACAAAGAGCTGCTTTATCAAATACAGCCTGGTCACCAGCTCTTTCAAATTGTTTCAGCTTCTTGCTTTAGGAAGCTTTGCACCCAGAGTGGCATGTGAGTGAATTTTGTGGCAAGTTTAGGCCTCTGTTTTTTCTGCCCTAGAGTATCACAGCCAATTACTCAGTTTGGGCTTTGTTGGACTTCTGTTCATAAAACTGGGAATAGTCTCCAAACAGGACTCAGTGTCTGATTTTTTTTTTTTTCTGTCTCCTAGGTGTGGAGGATCAATACAAAACATGACATTATTTATGTAAATGGGTCTGTTCCAGGTCACACCAATTGTCTGGTAAAGGTATGTTTGCTAGTTTCAGTACTGTATTAGTGACTCCTAAGCTCCCTACGAATCAGTTTACAAATGGAAAAACACTGGTAGGATGCAATTTTCATTTCTTCTGAGAAATCTTGTACTTAATTCTTGTTGAATTAAAGGGCAGTGGAATCAATTCTGTGAAAGAGCATGGTCAGCAAGGGCAGTGAGCACTCTAAATGGCTCAGCAGGGCACTCTAAATGGATCCTTCTTAGGTTTGCACCTATGTACCTTATGATACACCAGGACGGCTGCTGAACCCCATGGTGTTTCCAGGCTATGTCTATCCCCTTTGAATGCTAACATGAGCCTGTAACATGGTGGTGAGATTTCCAGAATGTTATTTAAGTGTTGTATTCATGGACAGAGATACACAGCAAGTCCTGCTTTAGCTATACCCAGTAGCAGTTACCTTTCCAAGAAACAGTTGAGATACAGGAAGAGACAGCTGGAGTTCACAATAAAGATCTGAGTTCCCTTTGGAATCAGTAGAAATGTGCCAGTGGTATTTTCTGTGGCAGTCTACAGGACTAATTTCGAACTTTATGGAGACTGTTTAAGTTTTCTATAGACAGTCTTGAAACTGAAGAGTCTAGTAAGTGTTCTTATGATGTAAATAATTCACATCAAAGCAAGAAAAGTGCTTTTTAAGGGTAGTTTTCAAAGTAGATTTTTCTTTCCAATTAGGTACATTCTGCACACCTGCAAACACCACTTACTTGGAGGAAGTTGTTTCCATTCTGACTGAATAGAGTGCAGGGTATCTAATGTCTTTGCTATGAAGGACTGTAAAGAGTTTGATATGCATATACCTGTGTGTCTGACAGTTTTACATCCTCAGAAGTATTGCAGGGATTTAAATGGTCCAGGACATGAAAAGCTGAAGAGCTCATCAAATTCAGATGTTTTCGAATAGTTTATGATCTTCTTCTATTTTACTGTGGACTTCTAGTTTTTGTCTCTTAGTTGTGGAGCAGAATTCCACAGCTACTGCACCTTATGTAGTTACCTTGCTTTCGCATAGGTGTTTTACCCATAGAAAAATGATGTTTCTCTCACTGCAAGTAAGGCCTTTTTTCCTGGGCAAGGTATCTCTAAACCGGTTTTATTTTAAAGTCCAGCCCAAGCCTGGGGAATGCATTACACATTCTTCTTCCAGTATAGTGAAAATCGTTTGAGATGTCTGGGAAAAGTAGTTTTCAGGACAACTTCTGCAAAATTACTGGGCATGACATCAATTACATAGTATTAAGAGTGTAGTTTGGACAGCTTTTCATCTGTGTATTGGACTGAATGACCTTTTCTTAACTCCTTCTTCAAAGTGTGTTTTTCTAATCCTGAGGCATGAACCTGGTTGCTCTATGTCAGTCTGAAATTTAATTAGGTGGGAATTTATGTAACGATGTTAGTTTTAAATTATAATGTATGCATACAAGCAACATAATGCAGTTGAAAAACTTAGAAATGTTGATGCCCAGTTTGTATTCTTTGAAAGTTCTCTTAAGAGTTAATTGTTGAAATAGACTGTGCATCTTGTTGTCTTAGTCATGCTGTTAAAATCCACACTTGGTGGCAAATGCAGGTACACATCTCTCATGTTTTATCTGTAAGGATGCAACATCCTGCAAAGCCACTGAGACTGAATACTCAACCTGTTTTTACCGTATTATAGTTTTCATTCAAACTAGATTCAATAAACTAATTTTTATTTCTGATTTTAAGTAAGTTAAGAGAACAAACATTTTTTACACGCCTGTAATATAAATGGCTTTTAAAAACTAAGCTCTGTGTGTTAATACTGCATGTTCTTATGTACACCATGAAGATCTCATTCAAACAAATCATTCTTCCCTTGCTGATCAGACTCTGCACACTCTGCTTGGAGAACATGCATGGGAAAAATGAGGCTTTTCTTCCCTTAGAGCTCCTTGCTTAAGATAATAGTGTATATAAAAGATCTTAACCAAAGTGCTTCAGACTCAGACTTTCATGACATTTAATAATAAATAACAGTTTGAGGTAAAGACACGGGAGTAGGTATTATTGCTATTGTGGAATAGGTTTCCAACAATTGCTTCTATCTTATTTTGAGATTGAAGCCACTATGTAGTAAGCAAAATTTTTTCCAGTTCCTTGAACTGGTGGATCCATTCTGTGGCTTTTTCCTTGCATGAGCCATGTAAATTACATTACATTCATTTTTCCCTTATTTTTTCAAATGTATCTGCAAAGAGTAGAAAAGGCTTTAATTATAAAATCAGGTAAAGCAATACTGTTTGGTTCTCTTTGGTTTCTGTTTTTTTTTTTCTCCATTAATCTTGCAGCACTCGTCTGTGGTGTTTTTAGCTTGCCTTATGGCTTTCTTCCAGGATATATTCTTGTTTGCTTATAGACATTGACTTGCAGTATATTGTTGTTTATTTGTTTGGGTCTGTTGTTGGGGTGAGGAATTGTGGGATATTAGCTGTTGTAATTACTGTTCATTCCACTAAATACCTGCCTGTAATTAAGTAGGAATAATGTCTAGGGAATTTGAATCCATCTGTCTTTGAGCTCCAGAGTGAAATATTGTGTAACACTCTCCTCTTTGTATGCCTCCAGGGAGAAGGCATTTGTGTTCAGTGCCCACTCTGTGTTGCTTGGTAACCATTAAAACCATAGTGCACCTTTAAAGCATATATTTATTTTGTGTGTTATATTTTTGGAAACTTCGTGCATCAGCACCGTATCCAGACAGAGATTAAGCACTTAAATTTTTCAAGTTTTGTTTTCAGCAGAATAAAATTGCAGAATACTAGGATTGATGGATTCCTGGTTTTAACTAGAATCAGCTTTCTTTTGATATTGTACACTGAAGTATGCAGGTAAATAACTGACATCAGTAATGTTTCTAGCCAACTGGAAAACTAATGAAAAAAGCTTACTTTACCGTGGATTTCTTTCTCAATTGCAAGGTCTGATAAAATTAAGAAAGTTTAGGAGTGTGCTGAAATGCACAGAGTTCTTCTGTTATAAGAGTAACATTGCAGAGCAAGCATTTGTAAAATTTGTGTGTTGGGCATATCAAGATCTCCACCTCAAGAAACACCTGTTTCCCCCTGGGGTATCCTCTTATATCCCAGGGCCTGTAGTTACCATCTGTAATAGCTTTCCCTTTCTAAAGGTTATGGCTCTGGATTACTCTCCCAGTTATATTACCAAAAAGTTCTCTCTTTTGTCATTCAAGAGAGATGCACAAGACTTAACTCTCTTTTTAAGTAGATGCCTTATAGGGGAGAGCATTATAGTATAATTCATGATGTTATAGTTTGTCTTTGATAGTGTTTTATACTTGCTGTGATTTTAAGGCACCTGATTTTCTTAGGATATTCAGTGTTGATCACTTTGAGTATATTGCTTGTAGTGAACACAGAAATTCTGGCAAGTCTTGTAGTCCATAGGAGTTGCTCAGCAAGTCAGATACTGAACTGGCCTGTTTATATGCTAGATGTGAGTTAAATTGAAGTATACAAGTTGCTTTAGTCTGATGTGTTCCACCTGAGCTACTAACTAAAGTCTTGAGATTCCTTATTTTTGTTTGGCTCTTTTTTCTTTTTTTTTTTTAAGAGAAGTAAGTCCTGATTTGCGTCCTAGTTATTTTGTATCACACTTCCCAGTGTTAATGTGCTGTTTCTAATTGTTGATGCCTGGGTTGGGTGCACTCCACTCAAGTTGAGGACATGCAGGAATAGTGTGATGCCTTCAGTTCTTTCATGTTTTCTGTCCTGTGCTTTGGGCCTCATTCATAGAGTTGTGTGCAGGTTTGGGGGGTTTTGTATGGTTGGGTTATTTTTTTTAAGACAGAATAAGGCTGGTCAGAAATGGATATAATTCTTGGGTTCCATTTTTATGTCTAGCTTCAAAAATAACAGAGAAGCTGAGTTAGGTGATGTATGACGCCTGGGGAGCTTATTTCTAATCATTTTTCTATATTTAAGCACATTTTTATATACAAATAGCTTGCATTCTTTGCTGTGGTTGCTAACACAGCCTGAAGCCCTGTTAAACTACAGATGTGAATTATGACTTAAGCATCAGTTTTTAATGCTTATTTAAGACCACATTAAGCCTTTTGTGGTAATAGATTTCTGAGTTTGTATTTGTTTATACTACCCATTATGCTGTCAATATAGGGGACATACATAAGTGCAGTTTACTAATTGTCTGCAAAACCCTTTATGACTGTTCTAAAGATTTAGTGACAAAACCCCTACCAGCTCCAATTTCAGCTTTCTCTAGTATTTTTCTTAATAAAATGACCTGTCAGAGAATGCACTGTAGTGGTTATACCATCATCTGTATATACCATCTATCTCTAGTGTAGTCTACTGTAATATATAGTGCTGTTAATACAGCACTTGAGTAAGCCAAGCATTTATCCCATGAGGAATATAGCAGATGCTTTTATGGATTGAAGTAGCAGTTTGGACTTGTTTCCTTCTGTGGATGAGAGCCAAATTCACTGGATTTTAGTAACACAGCATGAAAACTTACTCCTTTATTAGGGATGTTCTCAGAGGGTTGCTAGGAGAGCAGGAAGAGCTGTGCTGGGTCACCTGCACTTCTTTTCTGTGTACATGTTTATACAGACAAGTGTAGCTGCTGCTGCTGCACACCAGTGAACCCCTTTATACTGCTGTGAAATTATTGTTCAGGAATCTGAGGTAAGAGATACAGGGAACCTTTGGTATGCTGGACCCTTCATAAATGTAAAGGGAGTAGTTAAATAATTCTCTTGAGAAGCAGATAAATAATACCATGTGTTAATTGCTAATTGATAGTTTCAGGTGTAAAATGTTCTTCCTTTAAATATGAATTATAATGATAATATCTGGTAATAGGGTAATAATATCTAACTTTTAAATTTCAAGGAGAGTTTCATTTAGCTTGGTAGTGATGCTCTAAGATAGCCCTTTTTTGCTTTAAATTGCATTTGAAAGCTATGAATGTAGAAAAAGAGCAGTAAAAAAAAATATACTGCATCAAATATACCAACCAAAAAAAAAGCATATCAGAAGAAGACTATTTTAACATCAGATGTGGCCTGTGCTTCTGGGATCTGTCAAGCTTCTGAGGAGTTTGAAAGGGGCAAAATGAAACAGTGTTGTACTCCTCTGAGAGCAACAATGGTCTGTTGGAAATGTTTCATGAGAATCTTAAAACTATTTTAAGAATTCTCCCTATCACACTGGAGATACTATGTCCAAAAGGCCCCTTAGCATTAATATGTGATTCATATAATATTAAGTCTGGACAGTCTATTCATTTAGATAAACTAATGCAGGACTAAGATTAGATTGTTGGATTTGAGTATTGGATTTGCCTTCAGTTAAGAGTAGATGTCTTACTGCTAAATCCTGTCATAAGAAATTGTTTTAAGAAGAAATGAAAAAAAATATGAGGAAAACAAACATTTCAGTTGCTTTCATTTTCTGGGTGTCCAGAACTGCCTGCAATGACACAGCCTATATGTAACAGCACATGTTATTTAATGATGAAAATAATCAAAACTAACAAAAGCTAGACATGAAAAACATTTAAAAAAGATACACATGAAATGAATTAGTTGTCATAAATAGAGTTATTTATTCTAATCTTTCTAATACTAACTCTTGTAGGGATCATGGGAGGGTTTTGCTGTTGACAGAGAAAACTTTTGGTGTGTAATAGGATTAAAGAGTAAAGGAGAAATTAGCAAGGGAAATAATAGATAACCAGTGAAGCAATTAAAATATGGTTTCATATGGTAAAAGAAATAGGCACAGCGTGTTGAAAGGGAAGGATGACATCTCTGGAGATGCCATCCTTCAGGTGGCATCTCTGTTTCCTCTGAATTCACTGGTGCTGGAAGTGTTGCAGCAAAGGTCTGTGGACTTGGACCTCAGCCTGGTTCATTCCATCCAGTTATGCAATGTAAATTGGAAACTACAGGTCTGTCAGTTCACAAGGCTGTGAAGAGAACACTTTTGTAGAAGAGGAATGATCTACTTGAAAAGCTACTAAAATCTACTTAGCCATCCTAACCAATGCAACACTTTGAGCCCCTCATCCCCTCATTCTTAGCAAAAGGTTTTATTTTGTTTATGAAGCCTGCCCTTTAAAAAACATTGGAATGTCAAATTTATTGTACATGCCATCTGCAGGAATCCTCATGGACTTTGGGAAAGGCTCAAGTAATAGTGGATATGAATTTGGTAAATACAATGCTGCCAGAACAGAGCATTCAGTGGGCATAAAATTTTTTAATTTAATTTTTGGCTTAAATCAGAATTGTCCTATGTGAGGTCTTTGTCCAACCAAGTAAGAACGAGCATTCTGTTCTTTAAAAGCCCACCAAAAATCCAGAGGAAGAACTTATCTTCTCTTTACTAAAATTTTTTCTAAACTATTTGCACTTGTTTTTTTAATCCACTTGAGTATAGTGCCTGAAAGGGATTATTACAGCTCAGGAGGAAGATCATGTGTAATAATATAGAAAAGAAGAATTTAATTTTAAATCAAATTTAAGAATTTGTAGCTCTTTTTTTTTTATTCAGAGATAGCAGCCTTCTATCTGCTACCACAGACAAACTGCTTTTTGCTGATAATTCTAGCTACTAATTTCCTTCAGAGATTGGAGTTTCAGGGGCTAGATCTTAAATCTTTCTACACATAGAGAGGTCAGTAAAGGAATTTCTCCGTGGCACCACAGTTCTTGCAAATGAACTCTCTTAGAGGCTCATGTTCGACAAACTTAGGTACTGATTCTTTACTGAGTAAAGAATTTTAGATGTTTAACTCTGCAGTCACTGAACAGCTCTGCAATAGCCAAAGGGATTCAATACAGCACATGCACATATCTTTGCAAAATTAGTTGCCATAATTAGTTTGCATCACACATACTAATGCGTGTCTTGTTTGTTGAAGAGGTGATTACACTGCATAATATAACTTGGAATGTCATGCAGGAGCATACTGTGGGAAATACTGTTTAAACAAGCTGTACTTCTATTTAAATAACGTTTTAAAATATTGAGCAGTGAATTCATATGAGTGGGTTTTGAGTCACTGTAATGGCGAATTCTATTAGGATTTTTTTGTTGCTTAGTTTTGCTGATTTTTAAAATCTCTTAAAGGATGAGTACAAAATGTAAAATTTAATAATTAGGGGTGATGTTAAAGTAACTGATGATTATACGTGGAATTCTTTAAATAAGTGCAATGTGAATGCTGTTGGGTTTTTCCTATGCATGCAAGCTGAGTTCTTTAAATTCTAGTGTATCACTGTCTGAAAATCTTCTGTAAGATTTATTAACCCTACTCTTCCCCTTCATGCTTTTCAGGTCAGAGATAGCAAATTGCCTACTTACAAGGACTGCAATAAAAATCCTCCATTCCCTACGTTTTTTGCTGATGGAGATGAAGAACTGCCAGAAGACCTTTTTGATGAGGAGATTTTCCAGTTCACAGATCCATCTGTCACATTTGCATAATGTTCCTCACGTCTTTGAAAACACAGTTTTGTTATTTTCATGTACATTGCAATGCTGTGTAAAAGTAAGCCTATGAATTGAAGTCTGGCCAACTGACTTAAACATTTCTGGTATTGCAGTTTTGGTTAGGTAATCGGATTTCCCACTGTCAGTCTCAAGCCTGTACTTAAAACAACAGGTGAGTCTGAGGAACAGGTTGTAAAGCACACCAAACTATGTCTTCAGTGACCTTGCCTTCTCTGCTTCAGGCTGTGAAAACCTACACAATCCTGAAAAACTGTTGTTTTGAAGGTGGTTCCAGTTCATTTTCTCTTTTATGTGAAGTATACTGGGCAACTCTGATCAATCAGAAAAAGGTTTCAAATCTGCCTTGGCATCTGAGGTAGGGGGGATCCATTAAGAGTAATCCAAAATAAAACAAGGAAATGCGTGAGCATTATTTTTCAGAATGAGCTTGTTTTTCTTGCTTCTTTTATCCAGAACTCTTCCTCTCCTTTTTCCTTTGTGTTGTTTAATGTAGCAGATACCCAACAGATTTTCTCCGGGGATGGTGGCTGCGTGTAGGGTGAGGGTGTGTTCAGATGGGAAACATATGGTAACAAAGCAGCACTAGGACTGCAGGGGCCACCCACCTGATTGTCACCTTTGCTAGCAGCTTGTTCTGAACTTCACAGAGGGTCCCTAGAATGCTCTCTGGAGAAGTCTGTGCATCTACCATGGTCATTGTATTGGATTCTTATGCTGTCACAAGAGAGCTACTTCAAAGAAAAGAAGCCACATGTGAGGGGTTTGTCTTTATGATAGTGCTCATTTTTCTCTTCTACCCCACCTTTCAATAGTAGCTGGGATCATGCCCCTTCTACTTTTCATTTTGCATGATTTACTGCTTATAAGTTTGAGCTTTTGGATTCTGTAGATCCTCTCACATACAGAAGTACCTTAATAACTGACAGTGCCATATGAGCACTTTACTCACAAGTCCTGCAGTAGTTCAAGAATTTACACACACTGTTACCATTAATACCCTGGCAGTGCTGTCTGCTCATCTTTTCAGCTTCATCACAAGCTGTGAGCTCAAAGGAAGCCACAGGATTATGGAAGTACATTAAGGTGAGCTCTGCATCAGATAATACTTCAGTGTGGGGAAAAATCAACAAAGTACTGTATAATTCCTGTTTCTTTGGTAAGAGAACTTTTCCCTTTCTGGCATAAAAAGTGAAATTCCAATGATCTGATCATGTTGCTCCAGGGAATGATTGCAGCCATTCAAGGAATGCTGTAGTTAATGTTGCCTTCTATTTGTTCAGTTTTGAAGTTTCAATTGAAGCCAATATTCTGTCAGAGTAATCTCGAGTTTTGATTTTGAAATGTAGGCTGGGTGTGAGCTGTATGATTTTTTGAGGTGCTGCTTATTCAGGTCCCATTGTTACTGAGATGTGCTGGTGAAACCTTTTCCGTCTTTATCAAGAGTGCTTGGACATCAAAGACAAGAGCTTTCATAGCTCAACTGCAGACTGATGTCCCAGAGTATTTTCTGTAGAGCAGATCCAGAGTGAGATGGGTAATATCTGCTGATGTGAGCTCAGAGTGGTGCAACTCAGGTTGGAACATAAACATCCATTAGACCCATTCTTCCATCAGGCATTGGAAAGCTTATGGTGTTTTAATTTTCCTTACTGTTCCCATCTCTATTTTCTGCTCTTCTGAGTAAAGAGGGGACTTTGAGCATGAGAAAGCCGGGCTGAATTTATTTCAAGAAGCAAAATTGTTCATAAGTGTAATAACACCAAATACTTTAAGCCCACCTACGTTTGTTCTTAGAAAAGGCTAAGGATGTTTAATAAACTATTTTTAGACTTTATCAAAGGTGTTGGAGCTGAATTTATTCTTCAATGTGGCCAAAGGCTGTGGCTAATCAAGATGTGCTTTTAAGCTTCAAATAAAAGACAAAATTAGGCAAATATCGTGTCTCAGATGAGCCAACAGTTTCTCATGCAAAAGGATGTGTAAATTTTTGTGAAAAGGCAGACCAAGGGCTCTGTTGCAAGTAGATGTATCTGTGTGTCTGAGTAACAACAGTTTAGAGCCATCAGGCAACATTTTCTCAGGCAAGCAACAACAGCAACAAAAATAAGTTCTTATTCCATATTACCTGTAGTTATTAAAGAAGAAGGAACTGAACATGTTACCAGGAGTCTGAATCCTCTAGGACAACATCCTACCCAATGTTGAGGGTTGTTATGTTGCCCAATTAAGTTATTGCTGGTAGGCTCTGTTACCAGTGCCATAACTTGTGAAGGTTGCTACAAGATCTCCCCCAAGACTTCTCCTCCCCAGGCTGAATAACCCCAGCTCTCTCAGCCTGTCTTCATAGGAAAGGTGCTCCAGCATCTGATCACCTTTGTGACCTTTTTCTGAAGTCACTCTAGGAGTTAATTCCATGCCCTTGTGCTGTGGGTGAGGCACTGATCCGGGGTTTGCATGCCCAGGAGCTGTTAACCCTCTCCTTATGCTGTTGTGTTTGTTTGGGTTAGTGGGGTGTTTTTAACATCAGGAATATGCTGCTCTGGTGGAGGATGTAGGGTTAAGCTTTAGCTATAGCTGTGGCTTCATGGTGTGACTGCTTTGAAAAATAAATACTCTTCAATAATAACCCCTCTCAGTGGTTCTGTAATAGTACGTGAATAAACAGTGTCAAGCTTACAATATAAGTTGAAGGTAAAAAGACAGCAGGAAGAGAAAATCAAAACACTCATGTATCACTTGACAACATAATTGCAGTCATTGATGATAAACAAGGAGAGTTTATTTCTCTTGAAATACCATACTTTCAAATACCATTGCTCTGTCATTATAGATGAGACCGATAAACATTTTCGTTTGCTATTTTCACTTCATGTGGGAAAATGTGGTTTTTGCTGTGTTAGTGTTTAACAAATATTATTCTAGTAAACTGAAGGGGTGACAAGCTTATGTGTAAAATTTCACCCTCCTTACTGTTTCCTTGCTGAATTCTAGAAGTCCTGGAGGACTTCAATGATACTAGAGGCCTTTCCCAACCTTGAAGACTTGATTGAAAGAAAACTGATTAGAATGTAAACTGTGATGGGGTTGGATTGCATAACCCAAACCCTAATCAGAGGCTTCCCACTGGCCAGCCCTGTGCTTGTGAGCTCCAGCACCTGGGTTCCCCTGGAATGCCAAGGTGAATACTATTCAAAGGAAGTTGCTGGCCCTGTCCTATGGTGCTTCATAAAATCTGGCTAATAGAGGGGCCCTGTAACCACAGTGAGGACAGTGGTGGGGTTCGTTAATTTTAGGATTGCTGTGTCTGTAGCTATGATTTGGCTTGGGTCATTCTTCTGATTTATGTCATTCCCCCACTTCCTTGAGATTGGCTTCCTAACTGTAAACATTATTTGTACATGGTGTCATCCAATAATAAGCTCCTCTGCCCTTCAGTGCACAGGTTGTTCTTATTAATTGCATTTAATGAGCATCTCTCACCCGCAGAAAATTGCCCTGCTCTGTTTCACACCTTAGCATGCAGCATAACTTAGTATGATTTATTTATATAACATGCTTGAAGGCACTTATCAGCTGTAAGAACATGCAGGAATGCTGGCCCTGGCCTTGGGTGTTTATTGGTTTTGGAGACAGTGTGCAGTTTTTGGAGGAGGAATTTAAGCTGATTACATGTAGCCTTAATGTTATCACACTGGAAAAAGAATTCATTTCAATGGGTGCAGCTCTGCCGTATCTGGAAGCGTGGCAGCAAAACAGACAGATGGCAGCTTTTCCTGAGGAATGTGCACAGCCAAGTTGTGTCAGGTCAGAAGGGGGTACCTCAGGGCTGGTGGTCTCCAAACTGATGCAGCCTGCTGACTTCTACCTCATGAAGTGCCCCAAAAACATGTGGGATGTGAACTGTAGACTATCCCACTGCTCCAGTCCCCTTCTCTTCTGTCAGTGCATCTTTCTTGCATCTCTCCCCTCATTTCACAGAAGTATGTGAGTGGTTAAGTGGGAATGTTGCACTGGAGTGGGCATCAAGAAAGATTTTCAGCAGCATCAGTGTCCATAAAAATGTCCTAGTTCTCCCTCATTCCATTAAGGTATTACATATGGGGTCCCACCTTTGTCCACAGCCTGATACAGCCTAGAATCATTTCTGTTGGAATACTGAAAACCTGAGCTGTGGCCTTGCTTTTTCATCCACATGGCATCCACTGCCCATGAATTGAAAATCAATGCTTGGGAATAATTCTGCTTGGGGGTTAAATTAGTATTCACTCTCATGGCAGTAACTTTGGACACTAGTTTAGACAGAACCCAGAAAAGAAAGTCAGCTGAGAAAATGAGTGCAGTTTTTACTGTGAACACAGAAAATGGCTTGAATTATTTGCTGTAATGTAATGAGTATACACTGGAGATGGGGCCCTCTGTGCTGTGATGCTTCCTGCTGCTTTTCAAATTCCTGTGTGTAAAATCTGGCATAAGATGTACATATTGAAGTCAAATTATGCATAAATCCAGATTTGGGGTTTTGGAAGAAGCAGGATTGCAAGGGAGGTTGTTAACAAAAAATTGGCTTAAACCAATTTCATATCAATCAAATTGTGCTATATAATTTCTTCACATTTCCCTGGGTGACACAGTCTTCCAGTCAGCTAAGTCAAGTTTTCATTTGTCTGTTTTTTATCTCCTTCCTCATTTCCTTTCTAGTAGAAAGTAGAAAACCTTTTAAAATGTGGGTTTTTTCAGGCACTCAAAACCTTGAAGAAGGTCCCTTGACAACCTGATGCTCTATTGAAAAACAGAATGACTCATCATTCATAGGCAAGAGTCATTTTATAAAAGTTGCTTTTTTTATTTCTAAAAGACCAAGAGGAAAGATCAAGATTGCTGAATCAGTCTTTTCTGCACGTGACTTCTCTTGATGTTCCACAAATTCCCACCATATCCCACCTGAAATCTTTTGTTGCTCCATGCAATAGTGAGCTTCCAACACAAATTACAGTTTTTGTACCTCAGTCCTGCTTAATAGTCATCCACACCACACAAAATATGCATTAAAATTTGGCAGTGGGCAATGAGAGATTTACCACATGGTAAATACTTCAAAATCACAGTTCTTTTCTCTGCAGCAAGCAAGAAACGCGTGTTTGTTCACTGGTTTGTTCTCAAATTGCACCACCTCTTTCCAAGGGGAGATTTTTCTATGGAGTTACCATGTTCTTCCTTAGGCTAGCTAGAAATTTTCCTTTATTGAAATATTTCCTTTATATTTCCTTTATTTTAGAGCTGCATGTGAAAAATAGCTTGATAGAAAAGAAACATTTTATTTCGTTACCCTCATCTTTCATTTCCTTTAATCACAAGTTGAGAGAGAAATGCTTTCCCCGTATGGCACTTAAAGAGAAAATCAA